TCCCGCTGGAAGGACTTGATGTGGTTGTACCAGCGTAGGAGATGGCAGAAGGTCGGTGAGGGAGCAGAAGAGATGGCATCAAACACTGCGGCATCAGCTTGGGACGCTGCAAAGCCCTCCATGTAGCTTTTGTCTGCCAGAAAATCATTGAGTGCTTTAAGACCAGCAGGGGTGCTCATGTCACCAAACACAGTTTTTGTATAAGCAGGGCAGGAGGCCGGAGCCTGCCAGGATTCGTCTTGCATGGGGTACTGGTGCTTGACGACTTCCTGCACAGGGACTTCATGTGTAAGGGGGGTTTCAGCAGTGTGGCCACTGGAAGAATGAAGGCAACAAAGCAACAGGTAATAAGTCACTGAGTTTAATTACCATGCACTTACCCCAAGGCACCTAAATAACCTAAATTAAGACCAGACATGCAAGTACAAACCCACCCGAAGATGCAAACCATTCACGTCACAAACACAATGGAGTCTTGTTACATTTTAATTCTTCTTCTGACATAAACAGCCTTGTTAGTGAAATAGAAAACACAATGGCTTCACATCATGATGCTGCAAAGACTGGTGACCAGCTAAGCCAAGAAACTGCTTTATAAACCAAACACCCATTATCTTTTTAATTAATTTCAAGCCTTGTAAACATAGACGGTTTCCGTTTTGGTCTGAAAATAAAAACTGGCCTGTATTTTCTGGGTAGGGGTTTAAGATTTAGGAAAGTGAAATCACAGGAATGGCTCGATGTCCATCTCTAAGGCAGAGCAGGGCATGGTCAGCTCAAAGCGGCTGATTACATCTGGGGGGAGGACTCCGAGATGCCCTGATCTCTGCGCAGCGACCGGGGAAAAAGGTGTTATCTAAGAGAGAAAAAAGGAAAAATATATTAAAAATTAATCTTGGCTTTATGTGAGAAGACAGTTTCAAGTGGATTTTGGCCTCACTTTCTCCTGACAGGCTTATATGGTTTAGCAGACAGCAGTGATATTGACTTGTCCCAGATTTCAGCAACACTTCACATCCTCGTGTAATATTAGGATTCGTTCAAAACTGTAATTTACACCTCCACTAGCTCGCTTGCAATGTGTTCTGACAAACTATTTTTGACCAGTGTGTTACTATCTAACATGCCATCTGTTTGATCTCAGTCTTTCTTGGATCATGATTCTGCCACTTCACATAGTTGCTACATGTGCACTTGAGATGTATTTACACATTACGTTTTCTTCTATTAAGCACCGATGACATCCTTGGTGTCAAGCGCTCAGCTGAAGTGTTGTTTTGTCACAAAGCTCATGAGTTGATCACACGGTGGGGGTGATACTGTGCCGCCTTTCTTGTTCTTTGACTTTCTCCTGATAGTGGCTTTTTCACCCACATCGATGATCAACGATCAGCTCGACATCTACTATTCCAGAAACTAAATGGAATTACTTCCTGTGCGCCAGATAACCTGTCCAAATAAAGTCACTTCAAAAGTGGAAACTCTTTGGACTGTTTTCTAAACTAGATTCCTATTGTTCAATGGCAACCACCGACACCAAAATGAACACTGTGTCAAAATGTCACAGGTATACTAGAACTGGGTTTTCCATCTCGGCCACCGTTCTCACAAATCTGATGGTCCGGTATGTACGCAGAAATACTCTCATCAGCGTTTGTTCAAAAACACGGACATGCAAACATAAAGACGGACTAGTCAGATATTTAACAAGATACAGGGGTTGCTATGACAACATCCCCGCATGCAGAGACATGGGCATTCTCCCACAGTGCACTGCTTCTTCCCACGCTGCCTTGTTAATGGGTTCCACTCACTCATCACAATGGATGAAGGCTTACAAAACACATGGACTGTACTTTCCAACGTGTGTGTGTGCGCAGGGAAATTCTGCCATTTATTTCAGTTGCCTGTTTTGTTTCTGCGAGGTGTATTAAATGGGTGGAATGTGTTGGTGTTGGTTCACACGTCATCTACTTATAATAAGAGCGGGATGCCATGGCAACTATATAAATAGGTACATCTTAAATAACCAGTCAGTCAATGAAAATCCTACACTTGAGCCAGGTCACTTTACACCCACTTGCCTCCAACCTCCAGCAGAGACTTCAGTGGAAGGGAGATTTGGATCGCATCAGATAACCACTATAACTGGCTGATATTTGCAAGAAGACTTGGTACCATTTCAGTGAACAGAAATTTGACACAGGTCCTCACTGGATTCAGAACAGAAACAAATGCTTCACCCTGTGTAAAGGGACGGCTGATGCACACACAAAGCGGCTTTGAAGGATAATCAGTATGAGGTTTGATGTTTAGTTTTAGATCTGTAATGACCTGAATGCTGTTTCTAAGGCTTTTCCACCCTGACCAGGCTATAACAAGCAATTATTTTCATTGTCCATTAATCGCCTATTATTATTATTCTCACTTAATTGTCTATAAAATATAGCAAATTATTAAAAACACTTGTTAGTAGGAGCTTTTATATGGAGCCTTTAGCCGGAATCAGATTTTCACCCCAGGAGTTGGTAGGGACCAAAAACAGGGCTAAAAGAGTGAATATTGGACTTGTGTTCACTGGCCGGCCTCAAAATGAACAGCGGTGTTTCTCTAACAACATGTAACAACTAACGTAATAACTATAAGGTGACATTTCAGCTTCCACTGAACTCAAGTGGCCAAAAGAACCAGTCATTGCAGATAAATAAATGCACCAGCAAAACAAAGCCTCAATCCCAAAGCACCAGTAGCAACCTTCTGAGAACACATCTACACCAAATACTGAACAACAAAATAAGGAGTCACATGAATAAGTTATAAGGACCAAGACCTTAAATTGGACACAGCTGTTAAGTGAAACAAGTGCATCTGTCTCTCACGTAGTTTCCTCCTTCAGTAGTGATTCCCCCATCCCCCACGGAGTGGAGGAAACTCAGCTGACATGTATTCCCTTAGCCACACACTGTGTGGACTCATAGAGAGTCAGTTGCAGCTCTGCATCCTCGGGGTGTGTGTCTGTGTCAGGTGAGCTCTTAGACTGGGTCATGACCTTGTAATGGGGTTAAGGACACTGATGTATTCAGTAGGGGGATTAGACTAATGGTGCAAAATATGTGGAAAAAGGTAGCAGATGAGATAGACTGAGTGTGTGTGTGTGTGTGTGTGTGTGTGTGTGTCTCCAGAGTGTGCATTAGAACATGCTGTGAGAGCATGTTCATTTCAGCTCCCTTTTAAGTGTGTGTGCACACCTATCAGATGGACAGTCTGAGCACCCGTGGGTGAGTGTTGTATGTGCCAGTCTGTCTCGCTGCTCAGTGACTCCCATGCACTCTCCCACACTCCAGACTTTACACATACCCTTTCTTGCTTACGCCTCCAGCCATTGCTGTTGCTCTCCTGTCACCCCCCTCCTCTTTTCTGCACTCTAGTCTTATCTCATCCCTTCTTCCACTGCTCTATGCACGTTTACCCTTTCCTCTCATTCACTGATACTTGAGCCCATTGATTTGCAGTCTGAACCAGCCTGCAGAATAGATACCCTGCAGTTTGACCTTGGAGCATGCATGCCAAGGAGAGAAGGGGAAAAAACACATGGGTGGATGGGATAGGGTTGAGAGAGGAGGACTAAAAGAGGAAGGTGTAAGTCAGAAGTATAAAACTCATATGATATGTGCAAGTCTCTGGAAAAATGGGCGCTAACATGCATGCAGATTGACCTGTGCGGCCCTTCATGTCGAACCGTTCAGATTGCTAATCTCAGAGGAACAGGTCAGCTGCATCAGACAGATGAAACCTCTTTGAGTCATACTTCTATATGTAATTTAAACACTTCATTGTAAGCATTACCGTGCCAGTCACATATCACCGCCAGTTAATGAAAAATAAAATTAACTCGGGCTCTACAGTTTACAGGGTGGATGTTCTCCACTGAGAGTAAAACAACCTTGCAGAAAAAAAAAGCTCATGAAAAGACAAGCTTGTGTTGATGCAACAGGACTGATCTAATCATGATTTAAGAGAGAAAACATTTGAAAATGTGCACTCTTGCTCAGATGCATTTCATCATCCGAGACCCCGTGAAGTTGTTTGACATACATGGAACCACGAGTTAGTCTCATTTTCTTCTTATATAGTATATGAAACAGAAAATATCTTCTCTCTTGTACTTACATTTAATTCTTTGTCTCTCCCCTCTGTAGATCTAAATCTAAACTGCCCACCCATGTTGTGTTATTTTTAAATTGAAGCAGAATTGTGCATGTAACTGCCATGGAAACTGGGCCCCCTCAACAAAACAGGGTACATGATGTCCTGGGAACAAACAACAACGCACACTGGTGCTCATCATACAGTGGATTTACGTGATCTCAACGAACCTTTTAACCTCATGTGACCCCGTTTTATTTACTCATCAGCTTGCAGATAAACATGTTCTTAAAATCTGACACTGGGATTTTTTTCTTCTCTGAATAAATCCAGTCTTAAGTACTGTAGACTCCTATAGATCTGGTTGATTTAAATAAATGTACCAGCAAACCAAAGCATCAGTAGCAACCTTCTGTGAATACATCTACACCAAATACTGAACAACAACAAGAGGAGTCACATGAATAGGTTACATGGACCAAGACCTTAAATTGGACGCAGCTGCCAAACTCTCTGCAGACTTCTTACCGTCTGCAGCCTGGATGTGGTAGCCATCTCCACGGGCGGACTTCACCTCCAGCAGCTGCATGGTTCGATCCAGCAGGCCATGGATCACTTCGAAGCCTGGACTTTTGTTGTAGTAAATGGCACAGAAACGCCGGCTGTTCCTCGCCCCGACATCTGGTTGGTGGGTTGAGGATATGGGTTAGCATGAGGAACATTGAGAACAGGGCTATGTAATCTACTGACACTTAAAATTAATATTGGGTTATTATGATAAGTGTCAGTGTCACTGGACACTATCGACTTCTACACAAGCGTATTTTGTAGGGTGTAATTCCTAGTACAGTACGGTTGATTCAGAAAGTATTCAGACCCTTTCAAGTTTTCCACATTTTATGTTTCAGAGTCATCTTAAAATGGATTCAATTAAATCTTCCTCATCAATCTACACAAAATACTCCATGGTGATAAAGCAAAAACAGGTTTTGAGTATTTTGAAAATGTATTAAAAATAAAAGACTGACATATCTCATTTAGGTAAGTTTTCAGACCTTTTGTTATGACACTTCCAATTGAGCTCTGGTGCATCCTGCTCCTATCAATTGTCATTGAGATGCTTCTACAGCTTGATTAGAGGCCACCTGTGTGTAATTTAATGCATTGGATGTAATTAGTAAAAGCACACAGCTGTCTATATAAAGGTCTCACAGTTGGTGGTGTATGTCAAAGTGAAAACAAAGACATGAGGTCAAGAGAACTGGCCGCAGAGCTGCGAGACAGGATTGTGTCTAGCCGGGATCTGGGGAAGGATACCAGACTATTTCTGCAGCATTGAAAGTGCCCAAGAGCACAGTAGCCTCCACTGTTCACAAATGGAAGAGATCTGGAACCACCACCAGTCTTCATAAATCTGGTCACCCAGCCAGACTGAGTAATCAGGGACAAAGGGCCTTGGTCATACAAGTGACCAAGAACCCAAAGGTCGCTATGAATGAGATCCAGAGTTCCTTTCTGGAGATGTTTTCCACAAATGTGCTTATATATTAAGACTCAGTGATTTTCTCCAACACTTCAAACATCCAGTCGCTCACCTTTGGTCTCATCCTTCAGCACTACATCAGATATCTCAAACAGTTTGAGGGGCAGGGGCATCTTTCTGTTGGCAGCGATAGTTTTCAGCAGGCCTGGCAGCAAGGTGGTGCGCGCCACCTGGTGGAGAAAAACAGCAGTTCAGTGGGAAACCTCGCTATAGTGTGTTAGAAAGAAGGAGCGCGCCCTCTTCTGGACAAATAGCACTATAACCAGTGAGAGTGGGGGAACAAATCAGTTGGTTTCTGCCAAGGTTTTGAATTCCACATCATGGCATAAATTGATTAATCACAAATTGACCTGACTTCAAATTAGTCTTTTTCTTTACCACATTCATTTTTTATTTCGTGTTTGAATGAAAAATCTTTACTTGGGAAAACATTGATAACAGAGAAGCTTCATTTACAAATGTTCCTAATTCTTTGTCAACATTTTTATATGTATTTGATGAAAACATTTTATTTTCAACATTCAAATGACTTTCCCTGGACATTATCTGCAGAGAATACAAATTTGCTCTTTGGCTCTAAAAATATTTTCTCTTCAGTATTAATGTAGCAGTGTAGTGTCCATTCGGCACACAGAATATAATAGAACACTACCCCTGTAGGCTCAGTATGAATTACACATATTACACTTTTTGTATCTTATTACAAAAGAAAAAAAGAATAAGAAAAGATATACATGTGCTTTTGGACCAGTGTGAGCCTTTGTTTCACACACTGGTCCAAAAAAGACACTGAATAATTATCCTGATGTCATCAGAAGCTCAACAGAAAATGAAGTGTTTGATGCATTTGTTGGTTGTGCGTTTCACTAATAGGTAGAAAATAAACCCTTTTGTTTTCAGGGAAATTATGCTTTAAAGCTTAACAATGTTTAGCAATTTTCTTGTTACAAGTGACGTTCAAGGCATTAACAGTACTGCTTTACATGTACATGTGACAGTCTATGGTACCTGGAACTCAGCAGTCTTGGGGTTGGAGATGTGAACTGCCCTGGTTTCTGAGATCTTCTTCCCAAGCTTGTCTGCTATATCTTCTTGAGAACACTACAGGAAGAGAGGGGAACACGTACCTTTGAGCATTTTTGAGGAACAAGCAAGCAAAGTGTTTGTATTTGTGAGTCTTTGTGTCTCTCTCTTACCAAGGCAAAGTTGAGGGCTTCTGTGAATCCAGCAGCTGCCAGGTCTTGCCTCAACAGCTCTGTCAGTTTATTCAGTGGGAACTGAGAACATATAACACAAATACACAATCTATTTGATGAGATACAATGATTTCTGGTTACACATGCATCAAACATGCACACACAGATGCAGACACAAGTACCTGGTTAGCCACGGTGTACGTGTGTGGTGTGGTGCGAATTATGTTGTTGAAACCGTAGGCGATGGCAGCGTCCTCCATGATGTCACAAGCATGAATAACGTCGGAGCGTGTGGGTGGGATCTCAACCTCGATCTCATCGCCAACACCAGTAGCCCGGGAGCGCAGGCACATCCTGGTGAGCAGCTGGGCGATTTTCTCAGTCGACTCACTGTCAGGAGGAAAACACAAACAGCTATTTATTAAAAGGTGTGATTTCTCAAATTTTTGTGGACACGCTGACACCAAGCAACTGTGGAGCAGGTAGTGCTTTTCCAAATAAGAACAACTCATATGAACAGATTTGTTCCTAGCTAGCAAAATAAAATTCACAAGTACTCTACTAAAAGGTGTTTCTAATATTTTGCTGTCCTCATGTAAAGTAGGAACATTATAACAAAGAGGATTTGTTGCATAGCCACTGTAATAGACTGTGACAGACAGTATAGTTGTACTCAACCAGCAAGTCAATGAATAAGACATGTTGATGTTAAACTTGTGACAAAGGAAAAGTGGTTTACATTATAACAGACATTCACCAGCAGGTTCTGTCCACATCTCTATGTGGTGCCTTGAATATTTTATTGAATAGGACCAAATAACTTACTTGATGCCGACTTTTCGGTTGATGAACTCACTGGACAGCTTCTCCTTCCTGTAGGCCAGCTCCTGAAGTGCAAACCAGGGAACAACAGTAGAGGTTTAGGAGACAGAAGAATTTCATGTGACATTAAACGTAAAAGATGGTTGAAATAAATACAGTACTGGGTATATGCAGGCCTTGCCGTCGGGGTACACCACCTCAGCCTCCTCTACCCTGAAAGAGCAACAGAGAGATACAATTATCACCTTAACTATAGTACTGTTGTCCTCCATTATTGTTGATTCCACCCAGCTAATGCTGGACATGTTATTATATCTAATCCATGACTGGCACTACTATGGGACAAAGCATTCACTGGGAGATGGTGGTGACCACACCCTAACGGTGTCAAAGCAGGGTCATGTACAAGTACATTTAAAAGCAAATGAGCAAATCTTTGAATCTGGAAGATGTATTACAGTGCAGCAAAAATGCTTTACAGAAGTCCAGTAAATGCATTTGACTTCACTATGTAGGTTGTACCCAAAATAACTTCAAATTCTCAAACCACAGAGACAATCATTTTGTGATTTTGTGGCATGAAATTTTTTTTAAATCTTTCATAATAATTAGAGAATTTCATTATGTTCCACCTTAAAATACTGACATACAATCCCTGTACTGTGACTAAGACAGGTGTGTGACTTACGTGAAAGGCTGCAAGCAATACTCGCTGAACATGGTCACCATCATATCCAAGACGATCTTTGCCTGGAGGGACACGGTCAACTTTAAGTCAGTTTCTCATGAGTGATAAAAACTAATTTATCTGTTCTCCTTTCAGTTGTACCTTGTTCAAATCTGTGGCCGTGCACTCAATGAAAACATTCCTTGTCTTTAGGGTGATTTTTGAATGGTCCCCTAGAAAACAGGAAGGACTGTTTAGCATTTACAAGACAAAGAATTTTATCTTAAAAATATCTTACAAGGCTTTTTTCCCTTTAACTTTAGCTCTATATATTCATGATCTTGTAATGCTACTTTGCTGATGGCATTTTGTTTGTATGAACCTTTTATTAACCTTTGTTTTTAAGATAATATAAATTACCTTATTTTTTGTGAACTGGTGTGTCGTGTATTTGTTGCTTAGAATCTAACATTCCTAGACATAAACTGTTGTAATTCCACATTCAGAGACAGAAACAGGACTCACCATTGATGATAGGAGGCATGGACAGGACAATCCCATTGCTGTCATAGATGACTGGGTAGACAGGTTTGTCCTCAATAATATGAAGGTAATGCCTCAAGTGGCTGTCTGTCTGTATGAACCAGGACAACAACACTGGGTTAGCAAAAATCAAGATGCTGGTCTGATCAACATCCAGTCAGTCAGCTCAGTACCTTGTAGAGGCTCATGAGCTGGGTGGCAGTGAACTCCTGGCTCTGGTTCAGTGGTTTGAAGCTGATATCTCCAGGAGGTTTGGCTGTGTATGTGAAAGGACCAGAGATGGTGTCCAGGTCATGCGTCCCGATTGCCACCAGACTCCTCTTCCTGTACAAAATACATGTATTTGTTGAATACAGTGAGTTGTCTTAACAACAACTCCCTTAAAAATGATCATAGCCATGTGTTTTTGCCACGGTGTGAAAACCAACTCAAGATTTGGTCTGACACTGACTATGTGTGGTGAACAGTGCACATACTCTACTTTTACATGCTGTTGCTACTTAATTAGATGCACCAGCATGGAAACAAGTGCTAGACGTAGTGGCTGAACCATGTCAGATAGAGCCACACTGTTGGGATTTTCACTGAAGCATCAGTAAAGTATCAGTAATAAAACAAAATATGAAAAATAAGAGATTACACAAATAATAAGAACCACATTTTCTGGAGTTGTTTTCAAATAACATCAATTAAAAGAAGGTGACAGAAGATATTTCGGGGATGCAGGTTTACTCAGTGTTTGAGCTGATCAGACCTGCAGACGTTTTGGTGGAGTTTCTCCTGCAGTTCGATGAAGCTGTCATAGCGTTCCTGTGTGAAGGTGATGTTTCTCAACACTGCTGCAACTGCATGGCGTCGGACTGCTTCTGTCTGTACAGAGCAAAGTAATTAACTAACTACTTCACATTTTAAAGCACATATTTTGATCAGTGATGCTCCAGACTGCAAACTATTTGTTTGCTAATATACATCACGAATGTTTCCACCCACCTCTTTAGTGATTATCAGCTTTTGAGACTCCCCGCTCACAGGTCTAACACGTCTGTAGCGGGGTGCCTCAAGCCTGCAATGAAAAATACAATGTCTGTAGCAACAGTGAAGCTATGCGTTTATCTGTCTCACATTTTCATGTGCTGTTATGCTTCTGTGGAGTGTTAGCACTCAATATTACTGGCTAGACTTTACAAAGAACTTTACACTCAAACAGAGGCAAAAGAGCAGGGATGTTGTCCATATAAAGCTAATATAGCCCTTCCACAAAGCAGGACGGTACTTACTTATTCTTAAAGACCTGCAGTCCACGGGCCAGCCCCTCCAGACACAGCAGGTCATAGCGGTTAGCTGGTACATCAATCTTGTACAGGATGACATCAGATGCTCCTGCTGCCTTGGAATCACCCTGCTCTCTGCTGATTATCTCCTTCTCTGAGGTCTGTAACGAAGGTAGCGCAGAGGGATGTCTAAATGTCACAGTTCACACATAAAAACTGAAGAATAGAACAGAAAAAACCTTTTTGACAAACAAACACGGGTATTATTTCATTGCTTTCCTGCTATGACAAGTCGTAATGTGTACCATAATAAAACTCTAATCACTTATAAGGAAACACTGCGGGTTGCTCTCATTTCAAGTCATTTACTCACAATTTCATCCAGCTCCAGCCCATATTCAAAGCACAACTCGTCAAACTCCTCATCAGCTAAAACAAAAAACAGTCACTATTAAAAACAACTTTATACACTGTTATGTACTCGCTAGCTATCACATGCCCATTGTTGTTCCTGAACAGTTTCAATTTTAATGACAAGAGCCGGGGGAAATGATGCAATCACGGTGATATTCAAAATGCAGTTACTAAAACTACTTTCTTATCACCACAAAACCCGGCAGAAACACGCAGTTATAAAGATTAGTATCTGGCACAATTATCCCATAATTGTTTTACGTTTTCATTCAAAGCAGGTACAATTAAAACTGATCCAATTAGACGTTGTGAGCAGCTGCTGCGGTGCTAAATGAGTTCGCACAATACTGACTTTGTCTTTAAGAACCAAAAGAACATCTGATAAACTTATGCACTACTCGAAAAAAAAAAGTTTACAAAATCACTTACTGTATGCTCTGCCCAAAGCTTTAAAAAGAAGTTCCCTTCTTACTCCAACAGTCGGCATGTTGGCAGCTAATCCTCGCCAGCACACAATGAAAAAGGACCCCACCAGCCGGTTGTAGCTGCCCGAGACTGTGCCTGAGCAAAAAAAGATTCTATAAACACTGCATCCACAAATAATTCAAATAGCTGACTTTGGGCGAGGGATGGGGTCCACCCTGGACATGTCGCCAGTCTATCACAGAAAATGTTTTGATACTTTATTCATAATACATGACAGATACTGGAGAATGAAGACATTCCAGATATTATATTAATGGGCAGGTATGTTGAACGCAAGAGAAATTTGACTCCGATACAGTGGCTCTGTATGAGAGAACAAGAAAAAGAATGTGCAAACTCTGTGTGTAGATGTTACATGAGATAAACTGTATCCCCTCTGATTCGAACACACTTTTAACATAATCATCATTATGCATGTATAATGTATCCTGTGTCCTGGCATGCAATCGGTGTTACCAGTTCAAATCCACATGTTTTCCTGGAAAATCTGGATGACACATGTACACTTTATCACGTTTGAAAGCAGAAACATATCAACTAGTAGAACTAATGCGGAAGGTGCTATTTCAAATAGGCACTTGGTATCATGGGCGTTTGCATTAAAATGATGCAAGTGTTTAGATGTTTGGGTACCCCAGCATTGCAGGTCCATATATGTGGCTGATTGGGGGCACTCTATCTGGGTCAACTCCGACACTTCTAAGTATGCAACAAACCAAGATACTAAGACTACATAACAATAGTGTGGATGCTCACTCAGCATGCACACAATAACTAGCGTTTTTTTTGGTTATGCACTGTTAGGTATTTTTAGTCAGATAGAAATGGGATAGATACTTTATGTATTAGAAATGTTTAGTGGAGATAGGATGTCTAGTTAGACTGTTAAATGCTTAGTCATGCTTATGAGTTTCTACAGGGTACATCTGGTCAAGGATAACTAGAGAGAAGAGCTGATGACTGTCAGCAGACAGGATGTTTAATATTATTATTATGACGTGTATAACTGTAGCCTTAGCCATAATATGTTCTTATGTTCAGTCACGACATGTTACTAGAGGTCGTGAGAATGCTTTTAGCTACACACCACTTAACCAACAGACACACACACACGCACATTGATTTGATTTATGTTTTGACTACTGCTATGACCAGCTGCAAAGCTGGCACCAGAGACGTCTCGGTTGACGTTTCTGTGTAGTATGGGGCTAGCCCAACCGAGGGGATATAATGTACAGGCCTGGTGGGTTCAGGGTCTTTCATCTTACATCTGCCTGCGTGCAGGATGGAGGTGCAAGATACCTGAGCGTGTAATGTTAATTTTACCTGTGATCCTTTGAATAAATCAGCACTGTTTTGAAGTTACTTGGACTGTCTCATCTCTCAGAGTTAGCAATGGTAAGAAGAACCAAATAGTCCAGCAGCACAATAGAGGTAGTGGGTGTCATGGTGTATTCTGTAAAATGTGACTTTGTGCATTGTCATTGTGAACTTCATCCCTTCTCACCAGTGCAGCATAATGTCACCATATACTTAAATTTATATCACAATCACACGTACATTTAAATGCACAGAATGGTGCTGCAACCATGGCTTAATGCCCCAGTTAATGTGGGCCTAGTCTGGATCTCACCCTTAGGACACACCATTAACTGTGAGGGCGACTCCAACTCCAGCTCTAGCTCTTTCTTACTGACCGTCAGTTACCCCTGCAGTCACCTAGAGCCCGCCTTACATGTGGCCCCGCCCCTAGCACGCGCCACCCGCAGAAGTCCAATCATAGCGGAGTGAATGCACCCCCACCCCTACGCCCCGCCCCACACCCAGCACAGCGCGCGAGGTGTTACTTCCGGACTGAGACTGCAGAGCGTAATATTAAATAAGGTTAATGTGCTTACACAGAGTCTGAGCACAGCAAGATTAAAAGTCGGTTCTCCGCTGCTGTTGCGTGAATAAACTGACATCCGGGTGGAAACATTCGCCGGTAAGTCCCCTCGATGTTTAGGTGGTTTTGTAATGCGTGTCTATATCCAGATGCGCGGGATGCCGCTGTTGTCAAGTTACCTAAGATAGGCAGAGACAACATTAAAAGTAACGCACTTTATTGTTTATGTTTGGTGTTTTTAGACATTACTTGGCAATTGCCTTCCATGGCCAGCGCCTTAAACATTGTTTTGCGAGCAGTGCTAATTAAATTGAATGATGCTGATGAAATTGCTGTAGTTAAAAAAATGTCACAACACGCTTTAAGTATTTTATTATGAAATTCTCAACCGGAAGCTGCCTTGCCATAATGGCCTGCCTCACGTTCTTGGATGCTGTAGCTTAAACATCTGTGGCTCACTGCGATACCACTGTACTTTAAACATCTTACTGTGTTATGTGTCTTCTGTTCTTATTATTCTCTCTCTTTATTAAGTTTCAGTAAGTAACGTTTCCTATGGCCAAATGGTTTCTGGTAGGCTATGTCTGCACAAGCTACCATATGCTTTGCTTTGAGCATATTTTTTACATGGAAACATCACCACTCTTTTGCATATTAATTCAAGTAGATACATTTGTGCAGTAATAAAATACAGGCAAGTGGGACATGTTGTACAATGACAACATGTGCTTTTGTCAAAAACCAGGCCTGAAAATCGGTATCCTCTCACAACAGTCCTGACTCTTTTACAACCTCAAACTGCTTCCCACTTTTAGGATCTGTTTACACAGCTGAAGTGAACTGGCCTGTGACAACGGTTATGAAGTCCATTAGAGCACTCCTGTACCTACAGAGATGCTATTGTCTTGTGGTGGTGATCTGATGTGATAAAAAAAAAAAAAACACAGACACACAGTCCTTCTCCCTGAAAGTAATATTTCTCATACATTCAAGTGAGGAGGGCACAAATCAACATTAATAGGGTTTTATAAAACATACCTTAAGTAAATGTTTTTAATAACTCAGTCTGCTACTTAACATATGCATTTCTTACTGTACTTCTAACAAAGACACCTACTAAATCAGATGCAGTAAAAGGTTTTACAGCTCAGATCCAACTCATAAGCATTAAGTGCAGAAAGAAATACTGTATGTTGGTGGCCTGACATAAAAGCAGAGAAAAGCTGTAGTCACATCCACATGATCCAACCCAGTTCACTCTCATTGAAATCACACTTAAAGCCTTTGATTGTGTTTACAATTTGAAGTACACTTGTGAACAAAACTGCACCCACATATACAAACACACCACATACATCTATTTGTTGTCTTGACACACACAGTCTGACCCCTGGGACCGAGTCGTGTGTTGGTGCGTCATTTCACCACAATAGCAAAGTTTCTCCAACACTTCAGCTGGCCTGATTAGTTGAGTGGGTGAAAGGACGATGACGCTGGCCCACAAAAGACTTCATTCACACGATCTATTGAGGAAGCAATGACCCCCCGACCCCCCCCCCCCCCCACCCCCCCCCACCCCCAACACACCCTCCCCACACACACACTCACACACACACCTGCTCACTCCACCACTATGTAGACCATGCCACAATATTACACTGTTAATCCAGGCTGCCTGTAAATTGCCTGTTTGTTACATAAAGCCACTCATTTGAGTAACTGCTAGTCTGCTATTTAACTAACTGCTATTTCCGCTAATTGTTTCTGGCCACTATAGGTAGAAAATTAGAGTCAGGTTTTTTTGTGTGTTACTGTGGTGTAAATTAGGATTTTGACCTTTTGCACAGTTGGAGAGGAGTTGGCCTTGTTAGTCAGGTTTGAAAAGCCTTAGCCTGCTTATCTAATTAATCAGGTGGTTGGATGTTTTTGCAGATTGCTAAATGGCTAATCAGGGCTGAAAGTGATGTTTATTTGTTGTGGTTAACAGTCTACTCACCAAGGTGCATGTTTATGGTAGAGCAGTTGGGATCTGGATCTGCATAAATGCCTTTTATGTAAATTTTTATAAAGAATGTGACAGTCTCTTGTAATTTTATGAAGTTATAGCGGTCACCTTCCCTGTATAACGACATCACCTTATCACTCTGCCTTTGTGCAGTCTTACTAGTGGTGCCTGGTACTGCATAGAATAGCACTCCCCACTCTTATGTTGTATTGTTTCTGGTAGTGCTGAAATAATTTTTATAATTCCAGGTCCTAAATATGAGATTGTGGTGTTTTTCTCAGTTTTAAATCATTGTAGATTTAATATCTTTTGGTTTTTGACTACTGTATTATGATTGGCATAATTTATTTTCCATTGTTTATAGACTAACCAAAACATTGATCAATGCAAGGTTCATGCAATTTAGCTTTATTGTCATTATAACTGCATGCAGCCAAACATGGTGTTGTCGTTCAAAGACACTAATGTTACAAACTGGGGGTGTGAAGTTTGGAAGATGTGTGCTTACCAGTTCGATTATGGGAAATGTTTGAGTGCTTTGGTAGCTGACATGGAAAAAAATCCTAATGAGAGGGGCTGTTAGTCAAGAAATACAAGTAGGTCAGGTGTGTGTTTTGTGTTTTGCACAAGATGGTTGGAATTAAAATGGTGGGTGTATATTTAAAGCTCTTCTTCCAGCTTAATTTTTCCAGCAGACCCAAAACATCTTCTCATCACTTACACAGAACAGCAGTTAAAGTCTGCAAACATCCTGCTCTGCGAATTCTTTCCCTCTAGTCTGATAATTTGTTTACCCGGGCTGACTCCACTGCAACTTCTATTTCATTGACCTTGACTAGCTGCAAAAAAAAAAAACAAATTACAAGAGAGAGCGAATCTAGCAAGCAAACACTGGATGATAGCATGCAAAAGCATCTGTTCCACCAGGGTGCAGTTTTGGGAAGCTCTGCGTCCTGTGATAAAGGGAGGCAGTCTGGCTGAGTAGCAAGACACCAAACAGAACAACAGCGTTGTAGCGAAAGGAGTCGACATCCCACAGGGAACAGATGGTAGCCTGCATGGGAGAGCACTGCTGGTTAAATATTTGTTTTATTTATAAGTCTCAAAGCGACATTTGGGCGATGAGTGTTTGGGAGGGAGTTGTGTCAGTGTGTGTCAGTGGTCAAGTTTTGGGAGAGGAGAGGATGTGAAGTTTCAGGGAAAGAATATGAGCCTAAATCCAAATATGCATAATGAGTAACAACTGCTGAATGACTGTTTGTATGTGAGCATGCGCACACCATTCTGTCAGGAGACATGTTTTTATAGCTGCACTACTGGAAAGACTCTTGATGGACTGAATAGAAACATCAACATGAATTATCTGACAACAGTACCCTCAAAGGACCTCATGACCCAGAACTCTTTTATATCTTAACAGGTCATGGTGAGGAGGTTCAGCCATCACTGGCGACTCCAACTTTCTCAGCTGTAAGAGAAGCACCTTTGCAGCTGTGCTCAGTAACCATACCCTACACACAAATAATAGTATCATAATAGTCAATAATAATCATAATTTGTGGCTTCTCCAATGGGATGAGGCTTCTAGGGCTGGTAACAAACCAAATGTATTTGAAGTACTCTGTATTATAACTTTGAATAAATTAATTGTCTAAATCCCATATCCCTGCTCCCCTCAAAAAAGCTGGATGTTTGAGCTGTGCTGTACAGAATGATGTGTATCTGCTGAAAATGACTTTCTAGATTTTTCAGTAAGGGAGAAGGACTAGAGGCAATTTTAGGAATTTTTGACTTGTTAATTAAACTCATTTGTTGAAAAAATATGCCAAATGATTCAGAATAGAGTATGTTTATAAGTCTTAAAATCAGTTTGACGGCAACAAAACAACAACCGATTCAATAAATAACTAGATGTTCATACTATTATTATACAGTATTAATAATTTAAAACCATCTCACGTGGAGTAGAACAGGAAGCACCATGCACCAATGTACAAAACAACCTAGCACCAGGTATTGAAAACCATCAAGTCCACAACTTGGCACTGAATGTTTGGATGTATAATCTTGTTTATTTATTCTCTGAACTGAGTCACAGATCTTAAATCACAATTCATAAAATATTCTTAATGCAGCGTCTACTTACTATCTTTTCTAGGGCTTTCATTTGCTCAGTTTTCATGGAGATGGCTCAGTTTGCAGACTCCATCTGTTGATATTTTAAAAAGCTCCTCTGTCAAAGTACTATTTTCTGAAGGGTATTTCAATATCAGGAAGGAATGTCGACAAGCTATTTTACTAGGCAAAATTACTGCATGAATACTTGTATGTAGAGAACATTTAATATTTACTAATAACTAGTTTCTTTGCTAAGTGAAATAGTTTTTTTGAAAACATGTCTTCTCAAAGTAATGCTTCAGAAAACAAACAAGCAAGCAATTATCAGCACCACTGCTGCTATTTTAAATGATACGTACCCTATTGACAATACACCTGTATACAGCCCCAAATCAGAAAAAGATGGGACAGTATATAAAATTTTAATTTAAACAAAGTAGTGATTTGTAAATCATCTGTGTCCTGTATTACATTGAAAACAATACAGCAGCACATTATTTGATGTGACACCTCATGGCCTCCATTCCTTCCAAAAAAGACCTGAAACACTGATTCATCTGACCACAGTACACGTCTCCACTGTGTGATGCTCCATCCCAGATGCCTCTGAGCCCAGAGCAGTCGACTGCACTTCTGGGCGTTGTTGACATAAGGCTTCCTTTTGGCACATTAGAGATTTAAGCTGCATTTATGGATGTAATTGCATATCATACAGCCTGACACAGGTGTGCCAAAGTAATCCTGAGCCCACGTGGTTATATTGCTTAGAGAAGAGTGACGATTGGTGATGCAGTGCTGTCTGAGGGGTCACGGTCATCCAGCTTAGGCTTGTGCCCTTTACATGCTTAAATCACCCCCAGATTCCTTGGATCTTTTAATTATTATGCACCGTAGAGGATGACATATCCAAATCCCTTCCTGTCTTTCTCTGAGAAACACTGTTTTTAAACATTTCAATAACTTTCTCACACATATGTTGGTAAACTGATGGTCCTCGGACAATCTTTGCTACTGAAGGGCTCAGTCTTTCCTGGATGCAAATTTTGTACCAAATCATGATGCATTCACCTGCTGACATCACCTGTTTCAAATGGAGTCATCTTTTCATTGTTTTACTTCATTACTAGCCCTGAAATGCAACTGTCCCAACCCTTTTTTGGAATGTGTTGCAGGCATCAGGATCAGTGTTTATTTTGAACAAAGAATAAAACTGATGAGGTAATCACATCAAATAATGTGCTGCTGTATTGTTTTCAATGTAATACAGGACATACATGTTTTACACATCACTATTTTCAGTTTTGATTTTGATTTCACATACCGTCCCAACCTTTTCTGATTCTGGGTTGTATTTACATAATGATGTAGACTAATTCAACTGAATGCTAGAATAGGCTTGGCATACATAGGTTATGAGAATGAATGAATGAATGAATGAATGAATGAATGAATGAATGAATATGCTGGCGAGCTAAGCTTAGAACTGATGTCTGTTCAGAACTCTGGACAGCTCCCAAACTGCCCACAGCTTCTGTATGTTACAGTCCCCATCAGTGGCGGTTCTACATTGAATT